TTTTTATTAAATTTAAGGGCAACAGACTTACCTTTCTTTTGAGGCTCGTGTTCATCAAGTTCTATCTCATGACTTCTTAAAGCGCTGATGAGTTCTTCAAGAGACACATTGTTCAAATCTTTTGATACTTTGAATGCAGTGACCATAGGTGCCCATCTTCTGGGTAAACTTTTGATAATCTTCTTAACGTGGTTTGCCTTGGTGTATCCTTTGTTCAGAACTCTCAGGCCAGCGATCAGAGTTTGGAACCTTAAGAACATAGCTTCTATAGATTCAATTTCTTCCATTTTGAAGGCTTCATACTTATGGATGAGAGCCAGAGCTTTAGTCTCTTTTTCTTGAGCATTTCCTTCATGAGTCATTTTGAGAGACTCAAACATGTCATGTGTTGTATCTCTATTTGTGATCTTCTCATATTCCATTTTAGAGATAGCGTTCAGAAAGATATTTCTAGCTCTGTGGTGATTTTTGAAATCTGCTTTTTGTTGTCTATCCATATTCTTTCTATCAATCTTGTTTCCTTCTGAGTCTATAGGATGTGTGTAACCATCTAAAACGATATCCCATAAATCAGTATCATGACCTAGAAAGAAACTTTCTAGTCTATCTTTCCAATATTCAAAATCTTCTCCATCAAACACAGGAGGTTTGGTGCAGTTATTGTTGTTTCGTTCAGTTGCCATAGTGTTTTCCTTCTGGATCTTTTTCGGACACTGTTAAGTGTTTACGCTCAGAGTCAAGCTCTGATACCAATTGAAGGGTGAGAAAACACTTAGAAGGGGGGGGGGGTTGTATAAGTTTTTCCTTTTTCTTTTTCTTACTAGCTCAACAATAATGGAAAGACACAATTATTTTTATCCTAGTTCGTTTGAACTCAAACTACTCCAGTCCATCCGCCAAGGTGATTTCTCCTTTCTCAACAAGGACTTAATTCACTATAATCAAACAGATTACAATCACACAACCAAACTGTTGTGACTAACAATACAAAGCACAAGTAAACTTACAAGTGACTAACACCACTAAGACTCAAACTAGTCCTAGCCTTCTTGAGAAATCTGACCAAGCTTGGTCTCTCAAGGAACAAATACAAGAATTAAATCTTTACAATAGTGAAACAAATTGCTTCTTAGAAAGCTATATCACAAACTATGATTTATCACTAAGATAAGTTTTGCTCTTGAGAAAATAACAAAATAATTTATGAGCAGCAGAATAATTTTCACGTAAGATGTTTCTTTGGTTTTGGTGAGTAGTTGGCTTGCAATAAATGATCTTCTATTTGTAGCATGAGGAAAACGACCGTTACTGCCTTCAAAGGTGAAGAGCAATTAATGTTTGCGTGTTGGCTTGCATTATTGTTTCTTTCAATGAACTAGAGTAGAGACACTTGAGTGCTTTAGCCGTCTTTGCATTAAATGAATGAACGACACTGTCAGGGCTTGTTTCCTGAAACTTGACAAGACTGTTGCTTCTTTAATATTTCAGAACTAGCTTTAGATCTTGCTTCAGAATTTGCTTGCAAATAACTTCTCATCAGAGCTTGCTTGCAAAATACTTATGAACAGAGTTTGCATGGAAACTTGCTAAGATTAGAGGATGCTTTAAATTGCTTCTTATCAGAGTCAGAACTTGCGCTTAATAAATAGTTATTTCATCAAAGAACTTCTTCATTTTTATTCAGCTCAGCACGTAAAATGATTTTCACCTTAGAAAATACTTCAGTCAGAACATTATATGAAACAAAGAAATATGCTCATCAGAGTATCAATTATACAAAATATATTTTATTGTTATCATTAAAACTGAGATATGATCAGAACCAAACTTGTTCTAACAATAATGACATTATATTTTAATCATTTGAATTTCATCATCATTTGTATTTCATGACATGAACTCATCATGTGAAATGCCTTATGATAACATAGTTGGACATGTTATTCATCTCTCTTGCATTTTCATGCATTGTTGGATATTTATGTTTAGGCATTAGTACTTAAACATTATTCATTATGAGTGTTGTTTTTGATGATCAAATTATCTTTGCAATGCCTTTGAGTGGTTTATATGTGATTGTGTGTTTTACTTTATGCTTCTTAAGTTTTATGGCCTTTTTCTCTTTTTGATATTGTAAAAGGGGGATAAGTTGTTGCAAGATCAAAGAATAAAGTTGTCTTGCAAAATTGAAAAGGAAGATGCACATATTCTGGGGGAGATATGATCAGAGGCTAAATTGTTTTGTTGATTTGATTATAATCTTTGTGATTTTATTGGTTTCAAACATCAACAAAACCATATAAAATGTGGTTTGTATTGATTGCGCTCCAAATGTTCGATAAATTTCCTTAGATAATTTTTATCAATTATTTCATTAGAAATTGATTGCTATAGTGTGGTTTATTCAAAGATGGTTTGCTGGAAATATATTGATTGTTTTTCTCATCATACATAAACTTGTTCTATCGATTTAACACATATCCGACATATTTGATAACAGTTCAGATAGACGATTGTCGATCCGAGTTTGTTTCTGCGCGCCTTAGTTTAAACATTTTAAAAACAAAATTGGAAATTGAAAATTTCATTTGCGATATATTCAACCTTCTTTCCAGATCGTAGCATATCGTCTAACAAAGATCCTTAAAGTGAGCTTCTTCTACTTAGAATTTGCATGGGTATCACCAAATTCTTTTTTGGCCTTATAACATGTGAACCTAATCATATGGAGAAAACAATTATTTGGTTTGATAAAGAGCCGTGAAGGGAAGTTAAAGACATCGTGGTTGGTGGAGGTTCTTTCTTCAAGGACCTTCAATGAAGGATGGTTTTTTTTTATCTATTAGAATTAAGTGATTGAATTTGTACTCTGCGAAAAAGGTTGTTTCATACATGTTTATGGATTATAAGGCCCAATATTGGGTGTTACAATATCATATATTTAGATACAATATAATATATGGTATGGACCTTGATTTCGACAAAACTTTGGATGGTCTTAATGATGTGATTCTGGATTTTGACCTTAGCAGTCTTACTAGCAAGGACACTGACCCTCCTAAAGTACAACATATTTTTGTGAGTGCTCTTTTTAGTAAAAGTGTTCAGGACATAGATGTAAAATTTGACATGACCACGAGACAAGAAATAATTTTTGATTGCTTGCAAGTAACATATGCTCATGATTGTTATCCATATTGATGGTCTAGGACAACATATGTCACCGGTATAGTACCGTACCATTATTAAATATCTGCTTATGATTCTCTTATTTCATGTTGATGATGTTTGCCCTATTTGCTGTAATGCGCGTTTGGATACATTTGAGAAACACACCATTTATTGTAAGAAGATTCCATGATTCAAATACCAACTTGAATTTGACAGAGATGTCTTATTTGATATATTTTAGTGTGTCGAGGTATATGTGAAGAAAGAGGTGTTTGTGAATTTTTTGACTGACCCATCAGAGAGGAGATTAATACTTAGGCTAACAGATGTTCTGGTGTACGAGTAGGTAGAAGAGAAACATACATGCGTATACTTGATTGAGGTTTCTCCACTGGTGGGATTGAGGACTAGAGGTTTTACTGCGAGACAAACAACTCTCAAAGTCGCTTCAAGTAAAATGGTCAAGCATGGAAAAATATGTTGCGACAATCAACATATTTTTGTACAATTTGCATTTGACACTTTTGATTTTCTAATACCAGAAACAGTGTACCTTTTACCAAAAGTGCAAAGACTCATGCATAACAATGTTGTGTCTCTTAAAATAATATAATTTTAAAAAAAATTATTTTTGTCATCCAAAAAAAATAACGAGACATCTTATTACCGGTTTGTCTACTATTTTTATATAATCTTTACTATACCAAGAAATAAAAAATTTAATTACATTAATTTAAATGCAATTTTTTAGAAAAAAAATGTCTTAGATCCATAAATTTTATATAAATTATTTGAATTAATTTATAAAATAAATTATAAATTGATAAAAATAATCTGTAAACTCATGAAATAATGATATTACCAAATAAATTAAAAAGATAATATGAAATTTATAAATTCTAAGCCACAAAATATAAAGTCAAAACATAAACTCAAATATTTGTAAGTTTCTCCCTCATATTTCAAAAAAAGTTTGAAGTGAAAAAAAAAACTTTTGAGAAAAACAATACTTTAACAAAAAAGAAAAAACCTCCAATACCAAGTGAGTCATTTCAATGATTCACCATGAACCCACCTAAGAATGAATCCATTCTAAAAATACCCACTAGAATAAGACTTGTTTCTTGTGTCTGATTGGAATAGACAATACAAAAAAAAACACACACATCACACGACACACCACAAGTTGACAATATAATAATAAAAATCTCAACCACGTTAAACTAACTCAATTGATATTCAGAAACATTGTAATAGTGTTCTTGAATATTAGATAGACTCATTTATAAAAAAAAACATTAAATAAAAAAAATAAATCCTAAATTAAAAAAAATTATAAAGAAAGAAACAAGGGAGGCAACAAAATTGGACCATATATAAATAAATTAAACAAAATGAGAGAGTGGTTTTATGTCTGATTGAACTCATTTCAACCAAACAACTAACGCCGTTTCATCTCCCAGCCTCTTACAACAACAAACCAAACCTCGTTGATTCATCAAAACCGCTTCTGTTACTATTTTCTTTCTGTAACCGTTTTCTACAATTTCTATCATCGTTTCTTCTTCTTGCTTGCTGCTGCTGCTGCTACTACTACTACTTGTACTGGTTTTTTCACGTTACAACAACAAAACCATTCATCTTCTTATTCTTCTCTTGATTCTGATTCTATTCTAATTCTCAGTTTCTGTCCAAAAAAAAACAAGATCTCGTTATTGTTCTTGATATTCTCTTTTTTGTTGTTGTTGAAACAAAGAGGATTTTAATTGGTTCATAAAACGTGTTTCTGTTTTTGTTTTTTGATTTTTTTTTGTTGACTTGTGTTGATTATGATGTTGAATCGTGGGTCAAATGTTTCGGCTGAAGGTAAGAATCGAATGTTTTTTTTTTTTAAGAATCTCATGTTTTTTGTTTTTGTTTTTTTTGAGGTAATTGTTTTTTTTTTTTGTGTTTTTTTGTGGTGAGACAGTGAGTGGTTGTTCAGATGAAGAACTATGGAAGACAATTGCAGGACAATTGGTGGATGTTCCTTGTGTTGGTCAAAGGGTTTTCTATTTTCTTCAAGGTCACATGGAACAAGTGAGTTTTTCAATTTTCAATTTCCTTTGTGGTTTTATATGAAAAGTTTTAGATTGCGGTTTCTTCGCGATTTTTGATATTGTGGAGAATCGCGGTTGAATTTAGCTGAATTGGTCTTAATTTTAGTAATGTTGTCATTGTGGAGAGTTGCGGTCGAATACAGTTGATTCGATCGCAATTATGGTTAATTAGAGAAGAAAAGCTTTTGAGTTGCGGTTTAGATCATTGGTGGAACTTGTTTTTGCTTGGTTTATTTTTATTCAATTTTATGTTTTCTGAAAATAGAATGTTTCTTTGTTTGTTTGTTGTTGTAGTTAGAGGCTTCGACGAATCAGGAACTGAATCAGAGGAGTCCTTTGTTGAAACTTCCTACGAAGATTCTTTGTCGCATCGTGAATATCCATTTACTGGTAATTTTATTTCTTTTTCGATTATGTGAAAGAAAGGAAAGTAATAAGTTTTGTATGGTTGATGCTAAAAAAGGAATCTTAAGCTTATTTTGAATTTTGCTATGTTGTAGGCTGAACAAGAAACCGATGAAGTTTATGCGCAGATAACTTTGGTGCCGGAATCTAATGTAAGGAGTTTTTTCGCCTTTTGATTTTCTGTACTTTTAATGGTCAACCGAAGATGCATTTCTCCCGTTGTTTAGATTCTAATGGAACAAATGTATTAGCAAGACGAGCCTACAGTCCCTGATCCGTGTACCAATGAACCTCCGAGGCCGAAAATTCACTCGTTCTGCAAGATCTTAACTGCTTCGGATACGAGCACCCATGGTGGCTTCTCCGTTCTAAGAAAACATGCAACGGAATGCCTTCCTCCTTTGGTACTAATACTAGCCCTCTCGTTTTTATCGGTTTCTTTCTTCTCTCTGATAGTACTAGGCTGTTGCTAATCTTTGAAAATCTATGTTTGGAATTGTTGTTTAGGACATGTCTCAAACAACACCAACTCAAGAATTGGTTGCTAAGGATCTTCATGGTTATGAATGGCGCTTTAAGCATATATTTAGAGGTATAAGCTTTAGTTAAGCGCTTATAGCTTAAGCACTTATTATATAAGTGTTTATATTTAAGCTATTTCCACCTCTAATGATGAATTAAAGTCCAGTTGTTTTCATAAGCTATCCTAGAGAGCTTATGGAAATAAGCTTAAAGTAGCTTAAAGACATGTCGTGAGTTGTTTTCATAAACTCTGTCGAACAGTCTTACTTGTGCTTATGCCAGTAGATAAACTAGAATAAGTCAATACAACAAGTACTAATCATTTTCCTTTGAACTCATTTCTCTTTATTTTATCAGGTCAGCCGCGCAGACACCTTCTCACAACTGGATGGAGTACGTTTGTGACTTCCAAAAGATTAGTCGCCGGAGATACGTTTGTTTTTTTGAGGTAAACGTTAGTTTTTTTTCTTTGTTTCATTCACATGCTTCATAAAATCTTCTAAATTTCTACTATATACATTTATAATTTATCTGTTTTTCTATTCAAGCATTGCTATAATGAAGATTTTATGTGTAGAGGGGAAAACGAGGAATTACGCGTTGGAGTGAGGCGTCTTGCTCGTCAGTCAAGTAGTATGCCATCGTCCGTGATTTCTAGCCAAAGCATGCACTTAGGAGTTCTCGCAACTGCCTCCCATGCCGTTGCAACTCAGACTCTTTTTGTTGTATATTATAAGCCGAGGTGAAAATTTGACTTACAAATGTGTTACCGGAAAAAAACATTAGTCGACAATTGTTGACACGAGCTTTTCTCTTCTTAGGACGAGCCAGTTCATTGTAAGCGTGAACAAGTACTTGTCAGGTATCAATAATAAGTTTGCTGTTGGCATGCGGTTCAAGATGAGGTTTGAGAGCGATGATTCTGCTGAGTCCGACAAAAGGTAGTACAATTTTTCATAGCAGTTTATCGTATGACCTTATCTGTAGCTATCCTAAATTCGTAATGTATGTTTGATCAGATTCTCCGGTACCATAGTTGGAGTCGAAGATATCTCTCCCCATTGGGCAAACTCAAAATGGCGATCGCTCAAGGTACTGTCCTCGGTGTTGCTAAATAACGGCTATTTAGTACAGAGTGTTGTCAAGTAGCGGCTATATTGATTTCGTAATACATCAAAATTTGAACAAACTGCTATTTGCAATCCGCGATCCGTGATTGGCAACACTAATTTATCTTTTTTTTCCCCTGTGAATCTGTAGGTTCAATGGGATGAACCGGCATCTATTCCAAGACCTGATAGGGTTTCACCATGGGACATAGAACCGTTTGTGTCTTCGGCTTCGACAGTTCAGCCTACAGCTGCAAAGACTAAAAGGCCTCGACCAACCAATGAAACCCCTGAGGGTGAGAAATCATTCATGAACTCTTTCCGTTTCGTATATCAATTTCGTTATTATTTTTATTTGATCTTTGGCGTGTTACTTTCAAACTAGACACTACATCAGCCGCTTCTATTTTCTGGGATGCTAGGATGACACAGACTGATATGACACAACGTAGCGTTTTAGCCGAAAGCAAAAAAGGCGATAATAATACTAGTATGTGGCATCATAAACAAACCGATATGATGAATACTAAAAGCAATAACAACAACGCTTTATTGAGGAATCATACGGAAGGAAGTTGGTTATCGTCTCCCCGTTCTGCATGTCCTTCTCATTTGCTTCACGACACAATCGATGATAGCAAAACCGTCTCAGCTTGGCCTGTTTCACAGTCTCAATCGTCTATACTGAACATTGATCGTGTGCTTGATCAAGTTGATAAAGACAACAAAGTCGAGACAGCTACGGGTTGTCGACTGTTTGGAGTAGAACTTATTGATCATTCGAAAAACTCGGCTGCTGTAGGTAAAGCATCTTCACATGCAGTAAATGTAACCGGAGCAAACCCCGAAGTTAGTTCCAGCACCATGTCTAGCTCTGATACTGGCCGTAAGTCTGACATCTCAAAGGCTTTTACGGAGAGGAAACAAGAACTGCAACAAGTATCAACGAAGGAGACACAGAGCAAGCAAATTTGTAGTAGAAGTCGAACTAAGGTATTGAACATAGAATACACATTTATTTAGTTAAAATGTTTTTGTATTATAGTTCCTGACTCGAGCTTCTGTTGTCATTCGGAACGTTCAAAAAGGTTCAAATGCAGGGCGTTGCAGTTGGTCGAGCGGTGGATTTGGCAATGTTGAATGGGTACGATCAACTTATCGGCGAATTAGAAGAGTTGTTCGACATAAAGGGACAGCTTCAACACAGGAACAAGTGGGAAATCGTCTTCACCGACGACGAAGGAGATATGATGCTTGTCGGAGACGATCCATGGCCGTGAGTATATATATCCTTAATCCTTATAATCACCTCGAATTTAGTTTTAGTCACGCTGATCGGTATCAATCATATCATCTTGCAGTGAATTCTGTAACATGGTAAGAAGAATCTTCATTTGTTCAAGCCAAGATGTGAAGAAGATGAAATCAGGAAGCAAATTACCGATCTCTTCAATCGAAGAAGGGACCGTAATAAGCTCAGACACAACCGAACGATGAAACATCGACATTATTTTCTCGTCCTTTTCACTTTTTTCTTTGTTTCTCAGCACCAAACTGTTGATTTTATGGTTGAAGTTAGTTTCATTTTCTTAGCTAGGTGAGTTTTTCATGTTATTATTATTTAGATGTGAAACACTAGCTAATTTTACAACTTAATTTGTAGAAGAAACACAAGGCATTAATTAAGGTAGAAAAAAAACCAAAGTAGATTTTTTTTTTCACTTTTAATAAATTTGTGGATATGGAAATTTTCTAGAGTTGGCATTGAATATTCTCAATGGTTGGAAGAATATTTATGTTGTTGGTTGTTGTTTTATCAAGACTTTCCTTTTATAAGCTAAAAAGTATATGGTGTTTATTTTTGTGTCTTGTGAAATTCTAATTTGGTTGAGTCAATGTCTATTGATGTCAATATTGACAGCCAATAATGACATTAAATTGGAGCAACTTTATTGTTTAGGATTTAGTGGTCCAATGTTGTAGTGAGGTAGTGATTCTATGGACAAATGGGTTATAAATGTGGCAGAGTGGTGGAACCACTCAGAAATCACTTTTTGGGTCCATACTTTTATTTGTAGTGAAATTTTACTTTAGTAGTTGAAAGTATCCGAAATTGTTATGTATGAGTATTTCATCCATTGTAAGAAAAAAATAGGCTTTGTTTGGTAATACCACTTTTTAAGTTTATCACTTCATATGTTTTTAAAGGATTATTGTTATTTTTTCATACAAATGCTATTTTCTTACTAGCATTTTTAAAAGTGTTATGATTAGAGATAGAGTAGTTTGAAGAATGCAAATATATTTATTGGTTATATAAATTTTTCTTAATGAAGATTACGTTGGAATTAGACCTAAAACTTAGAGAATTTAAAATCAATCTTAATGAATAAGAATTAATCACACTGGTCGATTTTGCTTATTGTTCTTTACTCGATTGAATCAGGCATATCTTAGTTGTAAGATGATTCCATGCAACAATGAGTATGGGAGAAAGAAAAATTAAATTGGGGGATAAAGGGGATTAGAGTTTTAACGAAAGAGGAAGAAGAAGAGAAATGTTTCTGCAGAGTTTCTCTCTGCTTTCAAACTGGAATTTATTCTCAATTATGCAACTGTATTAGTGTATTACAATGATAGGGGTTACTCCCTAGTTATAGGTTGAGTTTGCTTGCTTACTAAGCAAACTCCAACTAACCTAATTCAATTAAAATCACAAAATAAAGTTAAGTCTAAAACTATCGAGATACACTTCTTTTTGACATTTCGACAACACTTAGTATTTTGATAATGACATGTTGTATTCGACTCTCTGTCGAATACAACTCATAGACTCTGTCAAAATAACTTGTTTTGACACAAAAAATTATATTTTTAACACATCACCTAATTCATTGTGTCTAAGCTATCTAGATTCATCATTGCTCTTAATCTTCTGAACACTTCGATCTGCACATCCTTTATCATGATGTCTTCAATTCGATTATCAGTTTTGTAGTGTTTCAAGTTCAACTTCTCTTTTGCTATTTACTATAGAAGATAATGGAACTCCATCTAGATGTGCTTGCTTCTTTCATGTGCTATCGGATTCTTCGCCAGATTAATATCTGACATGTTGTCAGTCTTGATGTAATTGTTTCATGATTCTCTATTGTAATTTTTTCGACCAAATTCATCATCCACATTGTTTGACATGCACAAAGAGAATCGGTTATGTACTATACTTCACCCGGCGATATTGCTACTACTGATTCTTTTTTTAAGTTCCAATCAATTGTTCCAACACCTAACATAGACACATATCTAACTATGATTTTTCTATCCTCGACGTTCCTACACCAACTCGAGTCGATGTAACTTATTAGTTTACATTCTTTTCCTTCATCAGCTGCAGGAAACAAAATTTCATAGTCAATAGTTCTTTTGAGATACCTTAGTATCCTCTTCGTAGTTGTGAGATGAGATATATTTGGTTTCTACATGAATCTACTCAACGTACCTACATTACAAAGGTATCTTAATGACCCAATAAGTTTTCGATACTATATTGGATCAACAACATTTTCACCTGAGTCTTTTGATAGTTGCAGTTTTGGTTCAGCAGGTGTCAAAGTTGTATTGCAGTCTTCCATCTCAAATTTGTTGAGTATTTCACTTGCATATCTTCTTTGATTCATCATCAAACCTCTACAACTCTTATAGAATTTGAGGCCAAAGAAGTAGAAAATGTTGTCCTTATTAGACATTTCAAACTCCTTGCTAAGATCACCTTTGAAGTCTCCAATCTCTTTCTTGATGCTACATGTTATCAACAAATCATTGATATAGAGACATAATATAAGCAATTCACTCTTGCTTCTTTTTATATATACTCCATGCTTAGTTGTGCACTTTACAAATTCATTTTCCCTTAGAAAACTATCTATCTTCTTATTCCAAGATCTTAGAGCTTGTTTAAGTCCATACAGGGCTTTATGCAACATGTATACTCTTTTTTCTTGGCCTTGTTTCACAAATCCAACTGGTTGTGCAACATAAACTTCTTCATCTAAGGGACCATTTAGAAATGCACATTTCACATTCATCTGGAACATGTGATAGTTGTTCATATTTTCTAGACTAACAATCAACCTGATTATTTCGATTCTAGCAACATGTGCAAAAACTTCACCAAAGTCGATTCCTTCTTTATGAAAAAAATCCTTTCGCCACAAGTCTTGCCTTGTGTTGAGTTACTTCACTTTTGGGATTCAACTTCACCTTGTATATCCAATTCACATTGATTTCCTTTTTGCTTTAAGGCAATTCAACAAGTGACCAAGTCTTGTTGACTTCGATGAACTTCAATTTCTCATTCATCACTCTCATCCACTTCGAATCCTTTAATGCCTCAACTGCATTGACTTGTTCGACATCTGCATAGAAATAATAGTGTACCAACTCACCTTCATTATCAACTGTATCATCTGATGTAATCATACATTCCTGCAACCTTGCAGGCATACGTCTTGTTCTTTGAGGTCTGTTTGTACTTGCTTGACCTCTGACTTCTTCTTGTCAATCTTCTCTTTCGACTTCACTTGCTGGTTCTTCACATAAGATTCTCATTGAATCCATTTTTACATTTTGTCCAATCCCTTCCTTAAGCTCATCAATGATCACGTCCCAGCTGATCACTACTTGCTTGTTTATTAGGTTGAAAAACATGTATCTAACAGTCGAATGATATCCTATTAGGATCATTTGACTCGACTTGTCATCAAGTTTTCTTCTCAACTAATCAGGCACATGTCTATGTGCTATAAATCCAAATACTTTCAGATGACTTAAGCTAGGCTTGACACTAGACCAACATTCTTTTTGCGTGGTTCCTTCTAACTTCTTTGTCAAACATCTGTTCAAAATGTATGCTACAGTCGACACATCTTCACCCTAAAATTCTTTAGGTAAATGCTTGCCTTTCAACATATTTCTCACCATATTCATTATGATTCTATTCTTCCTTTCAACAGTTCCATTTTGTTGCGGAGTGTAGGGTGGCACCACCTCATACACAATCCCTTCTTTTTCACATAATATGTCTAAGTCTTTCGACACATATTCTCCATCACCAAAAATCCTCACAATCTCGAGCTTTCGACCGCTTTGTCTTTCGATCATAGATTTAAACTTGGAAAATACCTCAATAACTTCACTTTTCTTCTTGATCATATAAGTCCATAATTTTCGAGTAAAATCATCTATGAATGTGACAAAGTATTTGTTACCTCCAATCGAATCCACCTGGATAAGACCACATACATTTGAATATATGATTTCAAGAATTTCCTTCAACTTGCTTCCTGCATCCTTGATGAAGATGTTCTTGTGCTGTTTTGCCTACACACATTCCTCACACACTTTGTTTGGAATGTTGATTTATGGTAATCCTGAAACCATGTTTCTTCTTTTCAAATCTCATATGTCTTTGAAGTTGAGAGGACCAAGTCTATAGTTCCATATCCATTCATCCCTGCTTCCTGCGGTTGCAAGGAACTTATGCTCCATCATATTAAGTTCAATATTGAAGGTTCTATTATGAGACATACGAGTCTTCAAGATTAACCTTCACTTGGGTCGAGAACTCTCATCATCTTATTTTTAATCGACACTTTGTAATTATTTTTGTTTAACTGTCTTATGCTAAGCAAATTTCTTTTCATGCCTGGTATATAGAATACATTGGAAATTACTAACCTTTTGTCATCTTTCCTCATAATCAGAACATCACCAATACCTTTAGCTGCTAGAGTATTGTCATTTGCAAATTTCAGCATGTTCTTCATTGAGGGTTTTATATTGACAAATCAATCTTTCCTACCAGTCATGTGTGATGAGCATCCTGAATCCAAGTACCATTGATCCTTGAATCTTTCTTCATGTATTGTTGTGACCATCAACAACATCGCTTCTTCTTCATGCTTTGCAAGTTTTGCATCATTTTATTGATTCTTCTATTTTTCGGGACAATCACTAGAATAGTGACCATACTTCTAACAATTGAAACACTAAATGTGACTTTTGTCGGGTTTTTGACCACTACCTTTTCCTCTACTTTCAACACCACCTTCGTGGTTTATTTGATATGAGGGTCTTCTTTGATTCGACAAATTTCCTTCTTGATGGTTTCCTCTATCAGTTGAATTATTGCAGCCTCATCTATCTTTGTCGTCGAATCATTTCCCTTTGCCTTTCTTTTCTCTTGCCGATTTCACTTGCAAAGCCACATCACTCTTTGAATTACCTGTAGCTCTTTTATCCATTCTTTGTTCATTAGATTCAAGCGTCCCTTGAATCTCTTCCATTGTCAATATTGACAAATCTTTTGACTCTTATATGGTTACTACCACATGGTCGAACTTTGGAGCCAATGACCTCAAGATTTTTGCAACAACCAATCTTTATGTCAATGTTTCTCCATATACCTTGATTTGATACACCAGCTTTGTAATCCTAAT